GCTGCCCGGCGCCGCCGCTTCTCGCCGCCATGAGCGCCGGGCAGGCCGCGGGGGAGGTGGCGGGCGGCGGCTCGGCGCTGCCCAGGGTGCTCTCGGCCCTCTTCTATGGGACGTGTTCCTTCCTCATCGTCCTGGTCAACAAGGCCCTGCTCAGCGCCTACAGGTGAGGGCCGGGCGGGCCGCAGGCCGCGGCGGGGCCTGCCCCGGCCCGGCCATCCCGGCGGCACTGTCGCTCTTCTCCCGGTGAGGGCAGGCTCCGGACGGCGCCGAGGAGGTGTTTTCACGACCCTGAGTATAACTCGGGGGCGTCGTTGCGGCCCCGGGCGCGGGGATCAGCTGGCGCAGCCGCCGCTTGCAGCGCCGGAGATGTTGGGGCGTGTGCCGGAGCCCGGGGTCGGCTCCTCTCGTTCCAGACCGCCTTTATACCCGGTACATCGTGCTTCTACAACACCACCCGGCGGCCGAGTCCCGGGCAGGCGGTTTTTGGAAAGCTGCTGGTCTTTCCCTCGAAAGCTACCCGTTATCCCCAGCCTGGAGGCTGGTGTTTCACTGGTCACACCGGCTCGGACCCTTCAGGGAAGCAGCTTTTCCCCTAACTGTTGCTGCCCGGCTTGTTAACCTTCCTGCCAGCACCATTCTTTTCTGAGGCAGCCAGAAATGGGAAGCAAACCGCAGAAAAATCTCTTAAAACTACGCCTGTGACTTGATGGGGCACCCCATATGGGATTGTCATCCTGTAACGGTGGTATTGTCAATAAATCAATATCACTATCAGTATTCTTTGCTTAAAAGGCTTGCTCTGCTTTTGCTGTGTTTTGCCACGTTATGAACTAGAAACAGTAAAGGAAAAAAAACCCAACAAAACAAAAGGAAAGAAGTTAAACAGCAAAACTTGCTGTTATTTTCTAATGTTCAGTGTAAAAGCTGCGTAGAACATCTCCCAGAAATGACAGATGAGGCAAGCTGGGGTTTTTTATTTTATTGTGGTTTTCATCATACAGTCTGCATCTCCTGGTAAATCCCTGGCATACATCTAGCACATCCATGGGAGATAATCAAGGACAACACACCCGTCAGTAAGCCTAATTTTTTGTGTAAAGAGCTTACAGCATTGCTGGGAATGTGTAGGGCTCTGCAAATCAAAAATGTCTGGAGAAATCTGTGTAGTAGAGATGAGTGAAGTCTCCATATTTATATGGTGTAGCTGTTAATGTGTCACATGATTAAGTCCTGCTCCTTCTACTCTTTTTTTTTTTTTCTTTCTTCCCTAATACCTCTGTTTTCCAGCATCTCTTTTACTACTGGCTGCTCCTAACTATTTGTGTTATGACTCTAGTGTTCTTATGGCTTTCCTGCTGTCATTCAGAGCGTTTTTTGTCTTTTGCTAATGCTATATTCCTGTCCCAGTCACACTCATTTGTGATGTGCCCCTCACAGCACACCAAGTAGCAGTATAGCAGTTCCTGGTGGCTTCTGCGATAAGTAACTACAACCTCAAGGAGCCTTGATAAATGGAAAATTACAAAGCTTGGTGAGAACCTGGGCCTGCCTTAGCGCACAGCGAATGAAATGGGTTTTATTTAGATTCCCCGGATGCAGGTTGGTGTGTGAACGTCCCTGACAGGGCAGTCCAGCAAAATGCAATGAGACTCTCAGGAGGCAACAGGAGCCATCATGTTCAGGGAGCTCCTTGACTTTTGGGCAGAGAGGCTCCAGACATGGCTGGTTGTGGCATAAAGCAGCCATCCATCATAACTAACTTCTTTGCTTGTATTTCATTGTACATACAGAGAATTAGCAGTTACTGCCACGCTTTTATTGGTTTCAACTTGATGTAGATTTAGGGGAAAAATGGAGGCACTCAGGCTCTTCAGGTGTCCTGCTAAAGTTTCTGCTTTCTTAACATTCAAGTATCCATGCTTTCAGCTAAAGCTAACTGAAGGTTCATGGTAGGAATTTAACTGTTTTAGCAGACGATAGATGTTTCAACATCTGTAGATGTTGAACATTTGAATGTAAATGGACAACATTTACCTAGGTGTTTTCTTTTCACAGAAACATATTGCTAGTGTGTTTGGGCTGTGGAGATAAGCTTCCAAGTTAGGGCAAGTGCAAGAAATATAACTTCATTGTACCATCTCAGGATGTATAGTGAAGCCACTCAAAAAACAATGCATTTTTAAGAGTTCTCCAAGTGTGTTACCTTCACTTACAAGTATCCCCCAAACAATTAGCAATTTAGAATTGTTCAGCTGTGCATTATGCTATAATACTTAGATGCAAGATGTTTTGCTGTAGAAATAAAACATTAGAACTCCCATAAGTGTAGCAGTTCCTGAGCTCTTCTGAAAGACAGGCCAGTCATCCACTGTACATAGTTATTGACTTTGGTGCTAAATTTAAACTCCTTTTAAAATTGTTTTTCCTTCTTTTTTATTTGCTTTTTGTTTCCTCACAATTAAATACCTGTTTATGCTTTTCAGCTTCCCATCACCAATGTTTCTTGGAATTGGACAGGTATGTTCACAAGTAAAGCATACTAAATTCACGTATTATTTTGTAAGTTAAACTAATGTTAGCATAGAAATATATTGTTGGGGGAGGAAATCTCTGTTATACTGCACTGCTTGTCTTCTGGATTAGATACACTGTAAGGAAGAGTGATTTGTTGTAGTGAGATAAGGAGGTTTCAGCTAAAGTTAAAACTATTACCTGGGAAGAGTCATGTAAAGTACTGGAACTGACATTTATTTCCCCTTGTAGAGTTCAGTAATGAAGAGATCTGGCCTTCAAAACTATCAGGATTTGTTCTAGCAAGTGCATAGATTCTATGAGAGTCCTTGATAATTTGTGGATTATATGCAGGGATGCTGTCCCTATTTGTAGTCCAACAAAATCTCTTCCCCCTTTCCCATCAGTTTTCCGGCAGGACTGTCACACAGTTTTGGTTCTTTGCTGCTATATTTTCCTGTAGACAATTTGCAGTACTGTAGTAGAAGTATGTTTTTTGTTATTTTTGTTGTTAGTAGGCGTCATAGTAAAACAAAAGTTCAAATGTTTGTGTGCGTGGTCCATAAAAAAAGAACGTGTGACTTTGCAGAGAGATGGCTGGGGAAGATGGAGCCTTGAAGCAAGTGTTGTTAAGGCAAATACACTTAAAAGAGAGGATTTACTTTCTGCCAAGGTTACAAGCTAGGGGGTAGTGGGGAGGAGGTGAAAACAGGATACTGCAAGTCTGACATCTCCACTGTTTGGTGCTGGATAGAGTAAAATGTCTTGTCAAGTCTTTGCTGTGTGAGAGGGGGAAAGAGACACACATCCAAACTAATCAAGGAACCACACATTGTGTTTCAGTGGAAGCCAAAGTCTAGAAATTGTGGCCTTAATTCATGTTAAGGGCAATGATATGACTTTGTTTCTTTGCAGAACATAAGAGTAAATGACATTTCCATTTTTTGTTGACTGATCCTTCCAGGGTTTCCCTGAACGCTTTGTAAGCTGCATATAATATGGTGTAACGCTTTAGCCTGCAGAACATGACTCCCCCTCATCCTCTAGATAGCCAATTATTGTATTTATGCATATGGAATTTTTTTTCTTTTTTAATCCCTGAAGCCAGCATAAACTCTTATGGTATGCGATTGCTCAAATACTTCATTCAAACGTGATTGCTCAAATGCTTCATTAGGTCTGTATCTTTATTATTTCTTCATCCAGTTGTCAACAGACTGATCAATGCACAGCCCCTGTCCCACATTACTGAAAAAAGCTGTAGGAGTGATTTCACAGACTAAACAACAATCTGAGCGGAAATAGAATGATTATTCTGGGCTCATGTCCTGTTTTATTTTCTCAGCTCATTCTCAGCATGCATTGTTTCACAGGGTGCCACTAATTTTCTCAAGCTAGTAAAGCATATGTCTATATTGTACTTGCAAAATTGATAAGAATTAAGTTGCTCCAGTTTATTAATTGTGTGCTGTGTTGTTCATTGAAAGAAATACATAATACAAAAATAATTTGTCAAATTCATACAAAGATTTTGTCTTTAATGGAATTATTTCATTTGTACATTACAATTTTGCACTTACATGACTTCTTGTTTTTTCTTCTTGTTTAGATGGCAGCCACTATACTTATATTGTATGTGTCAAAACTGAATAAGATTGTCCACTTCCCTGATTTTGATAAAAGTATACCTGTGAAGGTAAGGATTACGTAGGCCTTGATACTAATAAGAAAATGTTACTTTTTGTAGTGGCATTCTTTCTTATGGAGACAAGATAGAAGAACAGAAAAAAAAAATCTGCTTTTGTCAAATGTGATTATTTGTATCTTTGTTTCATTTAATATTGGATTTGATCATTTTAATTTCACTGCCATATTCTGGCCTTTTGTTGGCAGAGCAATCTGGTGCCATGTTGTTATGCACTACATGGGAAAGGGTGCTGTACCTTCATACAGCCGGATGCAACTCCTTCAAATTCCTGAAGTATTTTTCTGGATGTATACAGCTGCCTGTGGGATTGATGGGACATCTGTGTTTTAGAAAGAATTTTGATCACAGCATGAAGGGAGAAAGGCTGCTTGGAAAGTTGAAAGGGACGTGATAAAACAATAGTGAAAGAGTACGTGATAGACCAAAAGTTGGCTTCAACCATAAGACTACATAGGGAGGGGCTGAAATAACCCTCATTGAAAACACTGTAGGTGGGGGTGGGCTGCATCATGCAGACCTTAAGTGTGTATAGTCTAAAGAGACAGGACAGAGAAAATATGAGAGAGTCTTTTATTTATCTCAGATTGGGAACTGTGATGATCCATGTAGATTTTTATGTCCATGGTGCAATGTTGCTGGAGCTTTACTTTGATGCATAAACCTGTGCTTTTATGGCTTGCTGCAAGGTATTGGTCAGTGTTTGCTCAGGGATACGGAGGGAGTTAGCTCCAAGCTCTGCTGAAGGGCTCAGATATCAGCTTTTCAGGCCAGCATCTTCATTGCAGAATCTTGTCTTGCTATCAGTATGAGTTTTACTATAAACATCTCGCAGCCATTAGTGAATGCTGCTTATTCTTAATGCATGTTGAAATCGTTGGCATTTCTGCATGTGAAAATCTTGCAGGAATATCTATAGCATCAATTATAAAATGGGCAGCGCTTATTTTTTCAAAAATATGAAAGAGTAAGGTTTCCCAGTGGGCAGTTTTGAGTTCTGTGTATAAACAGCTTGTTGAGACCTCAAGAAATTTCTTCCTTCCACCTCCTCCAGTCCCACTACTCTCTCTCTCTGCTGTTGCCTTCACTTTAACATCAGTACAAATGCATTAAAAAAATACACCACTCATTTTCTTTGTTCTAATAATATCTATCCTTTGGAAGACTTTCCTGCGTGTGCTGGGCGCAGTTGACACTGCAGCATCCAGAACATGCTTGTAGTGCTGGATTTGACTAGTCATAGTGAATCAGCTGGGTTGCTCATTGTTGATTTCTTTACTTTCTAAAACACCTTTTGACTGACTGTTTATTCTTTTGACAACTTCTGCCTTCATTGACACCAAGATTGTCATTGCTTTTTACTCCTGGGCTGATTTAGATCCTGCGTGCTTTCAGCTAGAGTTTTAAAGTAGCAACATGCTTATTTTAGTGATGAAGCTTTGGAATTCTTGACCCTTTTAAAGTAAATATTTCACTGATCTCTGATGTTGTGCTGGGTATTGTAATTTTGTCTTCACAACAGACGAAGTCCAGAGGAAAGAGAATGTAATGTTAGCTCTGTTTTCATCCTATGAATGAAATGAAACAAATTTTTCTAAATAAAAATCTGCTGAACAGATAGTGTGTTACAAAATTTTTGCGAACTTATGTGAGCAGGCTGAATATTTATTGTACTTTTACTCCTGTTTGTAGTCCTGTTTACTTTTACTATTACTTTCATTTAAAAGTTAACTTTAACTGCACTTTTCTCCCTTCTCCTCTTTGCTGTAAAAGAAATGTAGAATTTTTAACACAGACAAAGTACAGCCCACTCCTCTATATGCATTTCCAGCACACAATGAGGACATAGCCTCCAACACACACAGCATCTCCTGAAGTGTGTGTAGGCACAACAGAAACTATTACACATGTTAGGATAGAGGATCTGTTTTGTCTTTCTGCCATTTTGGCTCTGCTTGACTGATAGTAAATAGAATGAGATGTACACACCAACTTTCTCCCCGTTGCTTACTTGGATTGCTTATAATCTTACTTTGGTTGCTTTTAATCTTCTGCAACTCTTCTGTAGTGGGAGAATTAACAGCTTTAAGCTGCAGCTGAATGTTGCATAGAGATCCCTGACTTCTTGTACATTTTCTTTAGCCTCTGAAGTTCTGTTGTTGTTTCTCTGTATTGTGTTAGGGGCCATATAGTTCTGTGTGAGTCAGTCTTATTATGCAAGAAGCAACAAAAAGGTAAAGTTTATTTAACCCCTACTTACTTTTTGTTTCTAGTATGTCACGTAGCAAAATTTGTTGGGTAGATCTAAAGTGGTATATTTTCCAGGCATACTAATACATGTGGAGTACCTAGAGAAGCACAGCATACTTAGCAGTATATTCATTGTTTTATTCCACTTGTTCTTCTGCTTATTTAACTGCTGTTATTAATATTACTTTTATACCTAAAATTCAAGTGTTAGAATGGGTATTAATCTGAGGATTAGTGTAATTAAAATAAACCTGATTAACATTTACTATGGAGTCTGAGTCCCATTAGAGGTAGATTGCAACTCTTCTAATGAAATCATCGTGCATGGTCACATGAATAGAGCTGCAGCTCAGTTTACAACATACTCAAATTTTTTTTTTCCTTGAAAAAACCCTCTTCCTTGCTAAAAGTGCACTTGATATTACAGCTATTAAATTCTATCAAGTAAAGTTTCTCAACGATGCTTCAAAACATAATAATCTGAGTTGTGCTTTTAATTTTATTGCAGTTGTTTCCTCTACCTCTGATTTATGTTGGAAACCACTTAAGTGGTTTATCAAGTACCAGCAAACTCAGGTACAGTAAACAGAAGTTATAAGTAAACTCTTTGGATTTTACTCTTTTCTTTTCTGGAAGTGAAAAATCACTAGAGAAGAGTGTAGGGACTTAAATGCATATGATGTCTGTCTGTCTAAACCCCTGATACTACTATGAAATTCTTACCCAAACATTTGATCTGTTTACAAGTTGTATGCTTTCTTTAAGGGGGGCTTAGCCAGGCCTGTACCAACAGAAAATCACAATACTTCTCTGTGACAATAAAAGTGCTTTCACTTTCCCCTCCCACCCAAGCATCCACCTCTTCCTGTGTGGCAAGAGGAGAGAGTTTGAAAGCTGTAAGAAAGACCTTTTTGAAGAAAGAAGAAGGAAAAGATTTATGCCATAACATCGCTACAGATTATTTAGGAGTCACCAAGAGATGGAAAAACAGTGGGGTGGTGGTGGTGGCCTAGCCCTTCTGAGCACCAAGAGATTTCTGAAGGGCTCACTGGCTACTCTATGCCTGTAAGCATAGATTTATGAGAGTTGCTTCCATGCTAGTACTAAAAAGATGTAAGTTATTTAGAGGGCCTGCTGTAATAGATTGAATGACCAAATATTCTGGGGAAGAGAGGTGCAGAAGCATGATGGCTGCACCAGGATTGGAAGATACAGCACTACCATTGCAGTGGTTTCTTTTATGTTATTACAGGCTTCCGAGGATTTTGAAGTAACCTAGATGGAGAATTTTTCACATTTTCAGCATTTCATAGCTTTGAGACAGATGCTGGGAGATAACATGTACAACTTTTAATTTGTTTACATTTCTTTTTATTTATAGAATTAATTTTCTCTGACTAGCAATATTAGATGCCTGATTCTGCATCTCTTTGTTGTACGCATTCAGTTGTTCCACTGAACTGACTGTTGAGGCAGACATAAAGACTTCAGCAGTACTGTTCCTAGTTGCACTTCAGCCAATGTAAATATGAAAGCAGTTTCAGTCCTGTAAAAGTTTGATTCATGGGTTCTTCTTTCCCATTTCCCTAACTGTAATTTTAAAATAAAAAGTTTAGTAGGTAGTTTTCAACATAAGTGCACCATCTTTTCCCCCTGTGGCTGACATACCTCTTTTAGATTTACCATTCGTAACTAAATTTTATAACAGAAAAGTAAGAATGACTGCAGTGGTTTTACCATTAACATTTTGTTACATTATGTAACACTTGTTTACAGTATGAAGTTTTCCACCTTGTTTGGGTTGTCTGTAAGATGTAGATGATCCTATGCATAACTTCAAAATGTGTGTGGTTTCAAGTGATTAAACTCTGTGTTAGGATTTGTATCATTTATTAATGCAGTTGGTAATAGCTACTTAAAGCAGAGGATTAATTGTTCCATATGGCCACTCTATCAGATTTCCAGTGTCAGATGCAAGTCTTTTCTCAAATTAATTGAAAAGGTTTCCAACTGCATTACTTCATGTAGACCAACAATATGTTGTTCTAAAGTAGCTGTTAGTTTGGTAGTTGCAGCTGGTCCTACTTTTCATGTTTGTTGTACTTTCTCTGATTTTTTTCTTGTGGATCTATTTGACTTTTTGGAAAGTACAGCTTGTTTACTAAGCATGTTAGCTTTGTATTTTGTGTTTGTTCTATGTTTTCAGAGATGGGTTTATATCGCGTCCTTTAAGTTTACAATAGAAATAATTTTTACTTGCCTTGCCCATGAATTCTACAAAAGAAGTATTTCATAGGGGCTATGGCAGGTAGAAGTAGTTTTTATATTCAATTTCACTCATGCAGAGGGACCTTTTAAAAGGTAGCCAGTTGCATTGTTTTACAAACTGGCAGATCTTATTTTTCAGTGATTTGGTTATCTAATCTGTCTCTAGTGTCAGACTGACATTTTTTTCTATATGCTAAGTGGCCATGAATTTGTTTTGGTTGCTTATTGCTGGACTAACAGTTTCATCCTCTGGTTAATAAAGTTAGATAAGAATTAGAACATTAAAATGCTGTTAATCTGATGTTATGCTTGGATTTTTATCTTTTTTTTTTGACAGTTTGCCGATGTTTACAGTGCTCAGGAAGTTTACCATTCCACTTACTTTACTGCTGGAAATCATCATACTTGGGTGATCCTTTTTTTTTTTCATTTAAGATACCTTTATTTTAGATCATATCAAATGGATTACTTGTGGCATCTCCTCAGAATACAGAATAAGTGCTTTTTACTGACAAGTAGAGAAAAGCAAATAATGTGGTTTTAAGTAGCTTTTCTGAAGACTGATGCATGCATTTTAGTGAATACAGGAAAAAAAATAAGCTTTTTCTCATTTACACAGCTTCTTCTCTTGACTGTTACACAGGAATCATGTAGGGAGAGCACAACTTAAGATGCTGTTAGTTATTTTTTGTGTCTCTTCTTGGAGGCCGTTAAGTTGCATACTGCTTCAAACGGATGGATCCTTATATCACAAAACAGTGATGATGGTATGGCAGTCTGCTTATGTAGAGTAACTTTCTAGGCCAAGTCTAAAACCATACTACTTTAATGAAGCAAAATGGTATCTACCAGTGTGCGGTTAGATCAGAAAACTCCTTAGTTATGGATACCTCTACTATTTTTAATGAGAAATTAAGAACAGTATGCTGTTGCAGCTTGGGTTCACTAGTTTCAGTTGTACTGACTTGGAAGAACATGAATATAAATACATCATGCTTTATCACCATCATCGTTCTATCCAGATGTCTTGTGCTTGGTTAAGGTGAGATCACAAGAGGAAAAGAGCTTGTTGAAGCTGAACCCAGGCAACGTGAGAGTGATGGTCAGGGAAAAAGATTTTCAAAAAGCCCCCAAGCAGACTTTCCTCTCCTTTTGGCTGAAACAACAGTTATCAATGTGATTCATAATTGAGGATGCTCCGGGATTCTTTTCTAGTTTTGAGTTCTCACAGGGCAAGCAGAACTTGTTGTCTTCTCCTGTTGGCCTGGCGACTCCTGCAAACAAGTGAGGAAAATGTGAGTCAGTGAGGCTGTCATCAGCTGGACTACAGCAATGTGGTGTATGACTGTAAGCAATCCCCTAACCTAATGGAAGCTTAAGAGCAGAACACTGTATTCATACAGACTGCTGCAGTGTATTTCCTTAGGGCTGAAAATGAAAGGACTCCAGAGACTCTGTGCTGGTTTATGTCAGGATTTGAAAAGCAGTGAAGGTTTTGGTTGCTACTGTCAAGAGTCATGGTGATCAAAGCCTAATATATCTAGAGACTACATACAGCTTTATTGTTGGGACAGTGGTCCTCATCTATGCTCCTTCGACAAACAGGATTTCTGCAAGGGCATTGTACATTTTTGTTTTGGTGAATCTTTTTTCACAGGTTAGCTCAGAGCTGGAGACTAGCCTGGGAGAATGACTAGGGGAATGTCTGTAAGACACACTGCAGCATGGTACAAAAATAAGTACTTGAGACATTTCTAAATAAAGTAATTCAGGTGTAAGAAGCAAAATAGTTTTACAGTATGCTTTTCCCTACTCTTTGGCAGAGCTGATGTAGATGAAGTAAAGAATATGATAATCTTCCGTGCTTTTCCTTTCAAGTACAAGTTTTCAGTTTGACTTTAAAATAAGTATCTATCTAAAAAATTGCCCAGAAAGTGTGCTATACAGGGTCTTCTCAAAGAAAGGTGAGATGAAAAACATGAGAAATGCATAGTGATTTTCTTGATTACTGGAAGACACTGAAGTATGTCCATTCTGAATACCAATACACAGTAAATTACAGTTTGTTCCAGCGCTGTTACTTTAAACCTTTAATCTTTACTTTTAAAATTATCTAGCAGTGGATTGCTTACGATGCTTTTTCAATCTCTGTTCTCAGGGCCAAGCTCTGATAACATGGCACATGGTCAATCACATTGCTTCTGTAAGGTTACCAAGACTATGCCCTCCAGTTAAATGCTCTGTTATTACTAATTGCTTTGAAACTTTTCAGGCAGGAAACTTTAATCTCCTTTTCAAATAATGAAAATGTGAACTGTCTAATTTTTGTCTACAGGAAACGATACCCACTGAGTATTGTAGTCAGCGTATTTGCCATCATTCTTGGGGCTTTCATAGCAGCTGGGTAAGGTTTTCATTTGTTATACAAAGTCATGTTATGAGAGAAAGGACAACAGCAGGATTTTTTCCTTATTAAGTTTCAAGTAAACTTAGGTTGAGATTAGTTGCTCTGGATTAAGTTGATTTGGAAAAATCTCTCTACTGACATCATTGGGAGGTGCAGGAATAAAAAGGGAAAAATTTAACTCCAGCTGGAAGTATTTGTGTGCTTCTTTTTTCCCCAAAAGGTTTTCCATGTTTGCAGGATCATAAATGTGGCAAAGTTCAAATTGTGTGAGGAATGTTGCTTTTATTTCATAGTATCAGTGAATTTTAATAATATTAGAAAAATATATTCTTTTTCTTTCGTTCTTCAGAAAGACTGATTTTTTTGTTGTCAAATATTGTTTTGATTTAGTCTAGTTTTTTTAATAACTTTGAACAACAAAGGTGAGGTTAAGTTTACAAAGGACTTGCATATAGTTTCCTCTGTTTTCTTTTTGTTTGGATACTCCTTTACTTAACTGGAATTGTGATGTTCTTTTTTGTTTCTTGGCTTTGCTGTGTACAAAGGTAAATAATTTCCATGTGATGTGACTCAGATAAATCCATGTCCTATTAAATGAATTACCCTATATGCACAAGGTAACTAGTCAAAACAGAAAAGATGACAATATGTCTGGTCTGACTGTAAAAAACAAATAGTCAGACTTTATTCCCTAGCTACTTTTTGTGTTAAAAGGAATAGATAAGTATACTCAGTAATAATTGGACAGGTTGTCAGGATCGAGACAGATGGAATTTTTAACAGAACAAAACTGAACTTTTCCACTTCCACACCGAGTACTGGGAACTCCCTGTTGACTCATTTGTGATGGACCTGTGACTGGAGAAATATAAAGTACCTTGACTTACAAAGAAGGCATAAAGGAAAACTTGTGGCTTGCTGGAGTTCTCGGGATTACATTTCCTCATTTATGTTATTTCACTAGGTAATGCAATGCACTGTATACACTTTGCTTATTTACAATACTATTTTTTTCACAGGTCTGATCTGTCTTTTAATCTGGAGGGTTACACATTTGTATTGCTAAATGATATCTTCACAGCGGCAAATGGAGTTTACACAAAGCAGAAAATTGATCCAAAGGTAACTGAGGGGTGATGGCTGAATTTAATGTTATGACAGTATGGTAACAATGGGTTTCTTATTATATGACTATACGAATATACAGTTATGAACTGATAATTAGTTTCATTTCCTTTCATATTTCAGGTGATATATGCATCCTTAATACAGAACAGCCTGGGAAGAAATTGTTATTAGTATCTCAGGCTTAGATAAGTCTTTTAGGTAGAGTTGTAGTGGCTTTAAAACACTGTTTGATGGGGTTTTTTTGGCTAAAAAATAAATCTAAACCAAAAGCAAATTGTTTGGCTGCAACCTTGATATATATATGTAAGGAACATGACTTTTTGACTAGAAACACACTTTAAGTGAGGTTGATGTAAAGTAAACTTGTGGCTAGGAGCTGAGACCTGTCCGGTTTGAGCCAATAACCACAACAACTGATATCTTTTTTGGCTATCTAAAAGCAAGTCTACACCAAAACCAGATATGCCAAAGAATTAGGTGATACCGTTATAAAATATACTTTATGTAAACATTGAGCAGGCTGCTTTTCAAATAGAGTGCCATAGAAGCATACCAACCCATAGTGAAGAGTAGTCTTGGAGATGCTGGATAGAGGTTTTGTCACTGACTTTTGTGGTTCAGTCTGTACAGTGGGAATACATACCTTTTAATAATCTCAGGAGTCACATTGAATCCAGACTGTCTATTTTTCTTTATGAGCAGCATGTAATGGCCTCATAGTTTTCTGCCCATACTTAATGGGGTTTCATTTAAAGCAAGAGATAAGCTGAAGAGATTTGCTAAGTAGTATGGCTGAATCTGGAGGAAGGGAAGGCTGCTTTTTCATTCCCCCAGTCTTCTGCCTTCATGTGAAGCAAGTTAACCAACAGGATATATGGCATCCCTCAAGTTGCTATATCAGTTACCAGTGATTAGAGATGCTCCATCTAGGACTCAGAATTCATTAATTTTCCTGTTATGCTGGTCCCAGGGAGCCACCCTGCTTTATGCTTTCATTGTTGATTTGCAGTAGATGGAATAGGTAATCCCTTGGCTCGGCAGAGACTTATGTGAAGTCTAAACAAAAGCAGTTCTGAACCAGTGCCTTGGGAATTTTCTGACTAGCTGGTATTGTAAAGAAACTTCAAGGTATAGCAGAGCAGTAATACTCTACTGAGTGTACAAAGTGACTGGAAGTGGAAACTGGGCTTAGAACTAAACACTGAACCCAACAATCACAGGCCTGTATTTTAAGTTGAAGTGTACTATGCTTTGCCTACTCATTGACAATAATTTCAGGATTGCCAGAGTAATATTTAGTATTTTGCTCCCAAATGGCTTGTAATTCCAAACACCATGTTTTGATTTTCACAGGAGTTGGGAAAATACGGTGTCCTTTTCTATAATGCTTGTTTCATGGTGATTCCAACAGTTATTATTAGCTTTTCTACTGGAGACTTTCAGCAGGTAAGGAGCAATATTACATATATCAGACTGATAATAGCTTTTTGTTTGCTTATTTTTAAAGAGGTAGTCCTATCTCCATGTTAGTGACTAGTTCTTGAAATATGTGACTTGGACTTGCCCTTTACAGGTAAAAACTTATTCACTCTAAGGAGAAGCTGAATTTGTGTGATACCCCTTATATGAATCTTAGGTTGAGAACTAGTGTATGACTAGGGACTTTCAGCTAGAGCAATTAGTTGGGAATCCCATTGCACTGTGTGATTTGCCCCATGCTCTAAAATGAGATGGCAAGTACCAAAACCAGACAATTTCCAAGCCTTCCTGTTTAGACTCGGTAACCTATATTTACCATTCTCAACAGCATGATTTTCTGTAGCTAATCATAATACACTGTAATAGTGTAAGCGGTATGTCCTGGCGCGTGAAATATCAGACCAGAAGGCTGGCTTTTTTCTGGCTCCCTCACAGACTTGCTGAGTTGCCTTTTTCTTACCACTAGAATGAGTCTAGACACTTTGTATTCCTTTTCGGAAATGTTTGAGATTTGCCATTGAAAATTGTTACAGAGCTTGGGGCTGTCATAAATCCTTTTGTTGTATGTTGTGCCCTGGACTCACATAATTTTGTCGTTACGTTCTTAGAAGTCTGCTGTAAGTGGAAAAAACGTCATTCCCTGAAAATGATGGATTTATGTCCGCTCTTATTGTGAAATCTCTTCTTGTGACATTAAGTCCAGCATGACCTTCTGCCAGTTCAGGAAAATGCAGCTGATGCCCTACTTGGCAGATGTAGTGGGTGCCATGTTTGTGTGGCTGTCAGGTTTCAACTGCTTTCTCAGCAGACACAGCTGGAGACATTTTGGGAGAACCGGACAGGGAAGTGTACCTTGTTGCTAGGTTTATCCTATGGGAAAAAATAGAGAGTGTGTTGTGCCCCCACGTTGATTTGTCACAAACAAATAAATGCTCAATTACCTGAAAAGAAAACATTAATATCAGACAAACGCATAATGCCTATTGGGCATTCTCATTGGCTTGGTCATTTGATATTAAGAGCTTCATTAAATGATGTGGATGACTACTGGCAATGTGATGCATAGGAATTATCAAAGAAAAAAGACACAAAATAGAAAAATACTGATGAAAAGTCAAGAAATCATTGTAGATAACAGCTGTATTTGGCAGAGTTTCAGGCCATAGAAGCTGGCTTCCTTTTACCCTAGGAGAGCTTTTTGCCTTGATCCACCACAGACAATGCATAGCATGTATCTTGCACCAGTCAAAATATCCGTATCATGTCTGTGTGGTAGGGAGGTTGCTTCTGCTCCACCAGCTAGTTCTAGAACAGTGGCTATCACATCTTGTAGAGACTGCAGTTTGTGAGTGTCCCAGTTATTCAGTTCTCCTTCAGCAGCTGGCTAACTAAGAGGACAGGAAAGCAACGGATGCTTTGGATGCAGTGGAAGAGAAAAGAAGCCCCAGAGTGTCTCTCTGGAATACCTTGCAGCTTTTGCAGGCCAGCACAATTCTAGCAGGACAGAGCTGCCTGAGATCCATCTCATCTATTACGTCAGGTGGTGAAGGCTCAGCTAGCCACAGCTCTGAATTTTCACTGAATTTCTAGAGTTGGAAGGGACCATAGAGATCATCTAGTCCAACTCCCCTGCTGAAGCAGGATTGCCTAGAGCTAGAGCATGTTACTCAGGACTGCATCCAGGCGGGTCTTGAAAATCTCCAAAGAAGGGGACTCCACAACCTCCCTGGGCAGCCTGTTCCAGGGCTCTGTCACCCTCACCATGAAGAAGTTTCTCCTCATATTTGAGTGGAACCTCTTATGTTCCAACTTGTGCCCGTTGCCCCTCGTCCTCTCAGTGGGAACCACTGAAAAGAGTCTGGCTCCCTCCTCCTTCAACCCTCCCTTGAGATACTTGTAGGTGTTGATAAGGTCTCCCCTCAGCCTTCTCTTCTCCAGACTAAAGAGTCCCAGCTCTCTCAGTCTCTCCTCATAAGGGAGATGCTCCAATCCTTGAATCATCTTTGTAGCCCTACGCTGGACTCTTTCCAGTAGTTCCCTGTCCCTCTTGAACTGGGGAGCCCAGAACTGGACACAGTACTCCAGTTGTGGCCTCACCAGTGCAGAGTAGAGGGGGAGAATGACTTCCCTTGACCTGCTGG